TCTCAAAGTTTAGGATACATAAGACTGTCCCAGGGATGCTTGATAAAAATCCAGATTTCCTGCCATGTTGATTCTAATCCAGTAAGAGCTGCAGGGAGTACATGAATCTGCATTTCACCTAGTGCCAGGGAATTCTGATGAAGGTGATCTGCAGGCCTCACTTTAAGAAACAATGACCTTCATCTTCTCTCACTTATATTTCATCCACTACCCTTAGCTGTCTGAAAAATACATTTGCATTCCTATTAGTTTCAAAAATCTGAATGTTGTCAGGTGAAAATACTGATACCTGAGTAACATATAAACTGCATTTCTTATATGCATTTGATAAGGAGATTTATGATAACATTATATGTCATAATTATAGAATGTAACAGTATGTTCCAATGAGTTACACATAATTATATTAAAAGCAGTATTTAGGGCAATTATATCATTTGTTGAATTGTTATAATTTCACTAAGTATAGGACTCTATAATGGATTAAATTCAGAAACAGTGAAGTTTTACAGTGGCTCCCCTTGGAAATTATTAAAGAATATGGGGTTTGCATTGTTTTGCTGAGTCCCAATTAGGGACAAAACACAATAGGGAATTAGATGCAATTTGCCTTGCTCAACCCTCTTTGGTTTTGTTCCACTCCCACTCCCAACGCTATTCCTAGCGTCTTCCCTTCAGATAGGAGTCAGTCACTTACTCTAGTCTCCCTGGGCCTAATCCCCTTCACCCCCTCAGGCAGCCTCAACTTTTCTCTGCCATGCTCAATGTTCATTAAAAAGTACATCATCTAATTTTCTCAGAGCCTCGGGGGTCTAACTTTGGTTTGTTGTTCTATGGACTCATTGCAGGTTCAATGCTACAGATGATAGATGGCCCTGGCCAGGCAAAGCGAAGGCCATGCACCAGCAGCACCTGGGAGCTCTTTGGAAATATAAGCTCTGACCCCATCACAGACCTATTGAATCAGGGTCTGCCTTTAAACAATGTGCCCGGGTAATTCCCCTGAACCTGCAAGCTTCAGATTCCCCACTCAAAAAAACTAGAGTAGACCAACCTGGTCTTCTTTCCTGATGAGACCCAAAGAGCTGACCTCAATTTCTTCATCTGTGAAATAGAGGTAATTATGAATTCTTCTCCATGAGAAAGCACCAGTGAATATTTTTGTTTAGTTCACTGTATAGTGTTGGGGATTAAATGATGAATGAGACATCATGATGAATGATGAAAGAGCTGACCTCTCTGGCCTGAGGCCCCAAAGCTGGTGGTTAGCAGAGTCACACCAGAGCAAGAATGAAGTTTTTACTTTTATACCAATAGTGACAATTAAGAACTATGTGCTTTACATACATTTTCTCTTTGAAGCCACTCAATAACCTTACAATGAAGTTATTAATCCTCCCACTTTCCAAGGCAGAAACTCAAAAATCACAGAAAGAAATTTACTTAAGTTTATAGTTAACCAAGTCTTAATATCAGATCTTTCCAACTCCAACATCTATGCTCCCAAAAGAATTTTTTTCATTTCCGACCCTTCAAAAACAGATGGCTGGAATACCAGCTCTCAGGCTCATGAAAAAATAGTAGTTTCTTTACCTTTGGAGTCTGTCTTTGGCACTCCCAGCTCAGGACACAAGGGTTCACGAGCTCTTTCTTCTGAAGGAGACTGCTTAGCTCTTGTTACACCATCAGCCCCCTTAGTTTTCAAAGTATTTTACATTATTTCATCAAACTTCACTGTTGTGATGATTCTTTTATGTGTCAACTTGATTGGGCTAAGGGGTGCCTAAATGATTGATAAAACATTATTTCTGGGTGTGTCCGTGAGTGTGTTTTTGGAAGTGATTAGCATTTGAATCAGTAGATTAAGGAAGATTCACCCTCACCAATGTGGATAGGCATCATTCAAAAGCTGCAGGTCTGAACAGAACAAAAAGGCAGACAGAGAATGAGTGAATTTTCTTCTCTCTTTTCTTGAGCTGGGACATCCATCTTCTGCCCTTAGACATCAAAGCTTCTTGTTTAGGCCTCTGAACTCCAAGACTTACACCGATGGCCTTCCTCCATACCTGTGTGGGCCGATTCCTTTAATAAATCTCTTCATGGCTGTATGTGTAATTATGTGTGTGTATACACACATACATATATATTAAGGGCTCTGTTTCTCTGGAGAACCCCGACTAACACAACTGGTCTGAGATGTAAACATTTCAGTTACCTCCAAACTGGCTCAGCTGCAGCTCCCATTTGAATGCAGAGTTCCATTTACAATGAAGGGGATCTCCACACACCTTCATTCCCACTTACCCACAGGAGGCGGGGGGAGCCTGCACAGAGATTAAAATCTGTAGATGAAGATAATTTCACTCCATTTATCTCAATGTTGCTCTGATGATGTCTTCTCTCACTCAAGTTTCCATGTGGGAATTCCTTGAAACAATTAACATGGCTATTTCTTGAGTGGGCAGTCCTATTTTTCATTTTTAAGCAGGCCTTTCTAATCCTTCTTTTCTATGCTCCACTTCAGCTTTTTAAAATTCCTGATAATCAAGTGCCGATAGTTTTCATTTTTCCCTTTTCTCTCCACCCCAAGTCTTTATTATAGTCCCTGTTCCTGATGACCTGCACCCATTCACATTCCTCATCTGTTGTGAAACAATAATTGAGAGCTACCAGCTTTAGGATTCAACAGCTTCTGCTTCTGTATATCTGAGGCAAACAAACTTAGCAAATAAAATGAAAATTAGAAAAAAGAAAAAAACTGCTCCTACAAACAATTCCCGGATTCAAGAACAGAGTTTGAATTTCTGAAGAATCCACGATCATCTTGCCACTTAATTTATTATTGTTTGTCTACTATTAACCTCCACCTTCCTCTGGGCATTTTTCTCCAGGATAACATTTAATTCAATGAACTGTATGTGGGACAGTTATTTGAAAAAAATGAAGTGAAAAAGATATGGTAGTACTTAGAGGGGCCAACAATGTGAAGTGATTGGTTTTCTATTAATTATTAACAAAAACTATTTACAAATATAAATATAATCAATTATTAATTCATTATATCTAGAATAGTTTTAAAAGATACTTGTGTAAATACTAGTTTTTCCCTACAACTTTCAGCAAGCCTCCTTCTCAAATCCCCTTTAAATGCTCTTCACCACAGTTCACAGGCAGATCACAAAACACATTTTTAATTGTATATTCTAATTGAGCTTAAACAAAAGGAGGAATTTCCTTGTTTGTGAAATACATATAGTGAGGAATTATCTAATTTATACACTGTGCCTGTGAGGTACTGAAATAGATAAAATATGAAACAGATTGTTTAGTATTTTGAGACTCCAAACAGATTACTTAACTAAATTCAACCCTGTTTAATCTGTAACTTATCTGTGTGAAAAAGATGTCAGTCTCGTGAAGCTTGCTAGAGGTGAAACCACCCAACAGAAAGCTCAGCTTTTTACCCTTGACATTTCACAGCCTCTCCTTGGCAAGTGCAGCTCCTCCAAGGGTATCGGCTGATTCCAATAAAGATTTTCAACAACTTCAGATACACATAAGGATGCGGTTACTTACCGTTCAGGAAAAACTAGTTCGCAGGGTGAACTGTCTTTGTGACATGAGGTTTCCTTGGACAGGCCCAGTTCCAACATGTGGCACCATTTCTACCTCGACCTGGGATCCCTGTGACCTATTACTGCTCCTCTCACAGCAAGCCCCATAGATCCATCCTTCTGCACAGATGAGTGAGGACAGAGCTTCCCTCTCACCACTTGTTTGAGTCGACCCCTCTCAAAAGCATATACATATATAATGGGACGGCAACGTAAAATAAAAAAAGAATACAGCTATTATGAGAAATGGGTGCCTGCCTAATTTGTCAACCAAATTATCTTCACTTAGTGTCATCAAAATAACAACTGGAGTTGTTGTTATTTTGTCAATAACAATTTTCTATCATATGGAAAAACAAGTATAATATGCAGGAAGCAAAAATGAAAGTAGGGGGTTCTCATATTCTTTTTAGTCAGATATCCTCACATTAATCTTTACAGATAAAAAATATGACTTTAAATATTTTATTTGACTTGAAGTTGTCTCTATTTAAATCTCCTTTGGTTAATTCTTGTATGTGCCCAAACTAGGTATCAAATCCACAACCTTGGCATATCGGGATGACACTCCACAGAACTGAGCTGCTCGGCCAGAGCCTCCTGTGTCTATTTCATTGACCATCTCCTTCATGCATTTTATTTCCTGTCTTTGATGCCTCCCCCCCAAAAATCATGTATTCGTGCAACAAACATGTACTAATTAACTGTATAATTATTGCATTTGTATCTCTACCATAGCCCTATGAAGAAATACACTCAGATTAACTCACTCGTGTAAGATCACAGCACTCAAAAGTGGCTACATAGGGACTGGAACCTCTATTTTCTCCTTCCAAGTTCATAGGTCTTTCTACTACATCATTACTATGAATCAATAAAAATACATTGGAAATACACAGAACATACTTAGGACATCATGAACCTCCTTTGATTTGCGGTTTGGGGCCCAGCTGATAAAGAGTCTTATCTACTACCGGTTGGAGGACCCCTCGTTGAGTCCATATCACTTGAGTCCTATAAATCAGTGCTGAATGGGCAGAAACCTCCCTTCCCTTCCTCTGCTCAACTTTCTCTTATTTCACAAAAAAATTGACCTAACTCAGTTATACTAACATGTAATATGAGAAAATGCCAACAGTTAATTAGGAATAAGCCTGTGAAAACTTGGGGGAAGCTACATGTTTCAATTATATTAATGAACACGCAAATGCAATCAAATCGAATGGATAAGCATTGTGTCAAGTTTTTAGAAGAGAATTGCATTTCACATGCATGAAAGCAACTCTCTTGTAACTTAGAGAATAAGAGACTAAAAATAAGCACACAAGAGAACCATTAAAATACTTATTATTTGAGTTAAATTAGAATTCTATGAGGATGGTTTCATCAAATGATTTGTGTTATTTTAATTTCTTCTCATAATCAACCAGATTCAAATTACTCTATCTGCAGGTTACATGGTTAAGCAGATACTCCCCAAATATCAAATTCTATTTTTTATAACATTTATCATTGATTTTTAAAAGGTTTAATATCAACTTGAAGCTAGTCACTAAATATCCTCTGCTTTTTAAAATTGTCAGCTCCTTCAAATAGTATTTCATAGTGTTGATTTTAAAGAAAAAAGATCTCTCAGAGATAAGAGCTTCATATCTCAAAGTATTTTATGATTTAACAAGCTGTCCCTGGAATTGAAAAAGATGATGCTCGACTCAACTAAAATTCAATACCTGTTCTTTAAAGTGTGTTAACTGCCGTGTGGAGTTCTGACACTCATAGTCTGCATGCAATTCCAGTTCTTCAGCACCAAGAAATTGCCCATGGAGAAGGAACTGCTTCATGAATTCAACTTTATTGCCCATTTATAAGTAGCTGTATTTCTTCAAGTAGCTTTGATACTTATGAGCATTAACAGTGACTGATTGCACCCCGATCAGGATTTCCTGGTGCATTTCCTCCAGCACATCCATCTGAGCCGTGCTCTTACCTAATGGGCAAATAAAATTGAAAAGAGTAAGTGAGGCCAGTGATTTTATTTAAAAGCAGGAAGAATTAGAGAGGAACTAGAAGTCAGACTTGCTACCTTCCAAAGCCCAACGGGTACCTACCCCAAGTAAGTGCAAGGGTTGATGTGATACAAGAGTTCTCAAAATGCTGTATTTTGAACTGAATATTTGTAAAGAGAATCACAGTCTGAGTACAAAAAAATGATCTTGTTATTTAAAAAAACTGTATTGTAAATTATTTAGTAAAGTAATTTTTTGAAAGTGAATGTTTTTTCACTTAATTTATCCTTTACATGGAATTAGAATAATTGGGGTACACCAGAATCTATGTTGGATTTCTTAAGACCAGAAAATACATTTAATGCTGTATAGTGGGAGGTGAGTTATTTTTCACCGTGAACATTCAAAAACCACCCTAACTGACCCCAAAGGAGTGGTAAGTAGAGAAGCAAAGGCCTCCTTCTGGCAGCATCATCTCCTTGCCACCTCAGGAGCTCCATCAAGGCAGTCAAGAGAACCCCAGTTACCACTATTTCCAAAGCCCCTTATGATGTCTTTACTATAAGCAACCTAGACTCTCCTTCTCAGTCCCTCAAGGAGCCAAGAGACTGGTAGTAAGAGAAAGACAAAGCCAGTGAGAGATGCTGTGCAGTTTACTATGGGTATCATTACCTACAGTCCCTATTTTGTCTCTTGGCTAGATACCTAATAAACCAACCAATGTTTATGATCAATTTGTATAATTTTGATATTCATTTTCATGCTTGGTTCAACATTATGACATTTTTATAAAGCATGTTGGGAGAAAAATAACGAGAGACTTAAGCATGTTGGTGGGGGGCCAGGAGGGGAATATGCCAGTTACCCTAGAGGTTGAATTTTTTCATTGCTCTTTTAATTCTAATATATCAACAATTTATCTAATATATTTATCTAACATATCAATCAAAACTTGCACATTATACAGATTGGAGCAAAAGTAGGTTTACAGTTGTTCATATGGAAAATAATACAATGATTAATAGACAATAACACAAGTATAAACTGTTCTGCATACTCACAACTATAAACCTACTTTTGCCTCACCCTGTGTATGCAAGAAACTGTGCCAGACTCCTTAAGAGATAAAAGATGTATACAGCAAATTAAAAAACTCAAATAGTGCAATGAAGTGTTAGAAGACAGAGATAATCAGCTAGTGTTGTGTGAGAAGAGAGGTGGGTAAATTGCAAAATGTCTTCACGGAGAAAGTGACATTTGAAAATAAGTAAGATTTGGATATGTGAATATGAAGGAATATAAACCAGATGTAAAGTATAAACCAAGAATTTTATAGAGTGATTTTATACATATTATTTCATAAACACCTATCTCACCTCCATGAAGAAGTTCAACCAGTGTGACTGAGACTGGCTGGAGGTTCCTACTCCTATTTTTTATTTCTATACAGTTGAGTTGGGACCATGTTACTCAGCCTTGTCTATGGGATGTGGACAAAGGTGACAGATACCACTTTTCAGGATGAGTCATGAAGCACCACATAGTCCTCCACACTTTCTCATCGCTTGGCAGCCAGGTGAATGCAAAGAAGCTAACAAGAACTCCAAGGAGGCCTTGGATTATTGTGGTGCCATAAATGAAATGTAGCCGAAGTAAACTGAGTCACTGCTTATACTAGAATCCTCCTCCCCTCTGTGACACACACACATACCCCCTTGTTGCTCTGATGACTGTTTCAGGCTTTGCAAGAGCAGGAAACCAACCTTCACTGTGTTAAGCAATCTAGATTTGGAGAGTATTGTGACAGCAGCTAGCTCCAAGTTCCTGGTTGATACCAAGAGTACTACAATCGTCATCGTATATGGGAGAAAAAATATCAAAGCATGCACAAGAAGAGAAAGTCGAACAGCATGATACAAAAGCTGAGAAAGCTCAAGTTCAAAGTACTTCATCATCAGATCCCACCCAGTTTTCTAGCTGTCCCATAGGATTTGCCATGTCCCCAAAATGTCATGCCTGTGCTGTAACCCTTTTGCTTATTCTGTCCTTCCTTTATGGAAGTCCCTTCTCTTTGGTGTTTTTCATATATCTACTCATTTTTCAAAGTGCAATGTACAGTCACCTCACTGACTGAACCTCAGTAACAGCCTCCTTATTGCAATGTGATGTGGCAGAAATGGTGAAGTGTGCTGGGGGTTCACCTCTTACTAGCATGATCCCAAATGAGAGACTTAAACTTTCTGAGTCTTCCTCCTCTTTAAAATGCATCATCATTTATTGTTTTTACAGGACCATGTGAAAACAAGGTGAGATGATGAATGAAATGTGTCCCAGGTACACAGAAATTGTGAAATAAATATTTGTCCTATCTACTCTATAGCCCTTTATTATTCTATTCATTCACATCTTCCCTAAAGACTGAACCCCACAAGAGCAGAAGCCTCATTCGAGTCATCTTATAGTATGCATCTAATATGTAGTAGGCTTTTTAGTCAAACTTAGGTAGAGTTACATTCGCCAAAAATTTTTAAAGATGAAATTACATCTACAAGGTTTTTTTCTTTCATGTAAAGATCTAGACATAAGAATCCAGGCTGCTGAGGAAGGTCCACAGTTGAGTCAGGATCCCACACTCCTAGGTTTATTCCTGACACACCAAGGATGTGACCCTTGCTGGCTTTGTCAAGAGGCTGAATGGGCTCCAGGCACCATATTTATACTCCAGGCAGCACAAAGAATAAGGGCATGGCTTTCTCTTGGTGGATACCTCCTGGAAGGAGCACAGCCACTTCTGCTTACCTACCATTGGCCAAAGCCTAGTTGTGTGGCCCCACTCACATGCATGGCTGGCTGGGAAATGTAGTTCATGCTTCCATATACCCAAATAATATTCAAAGGTCCTATTACTGAGGAAGGAGAGGATTTGTTATTGAAGAGACCACTAGCAGAATCTGCCATGTTAAACATATGACTGTGCTTTGGGAAGTTGATTCTGGCAGTGATGTTGACCATGGAACCAAGGGGAAACACAAAGAACAAGAAGAATAGTTGGAATAACACAGTAATACTTACTAAAGCTCCCTCTTGCTGAGTGTTTTCTAGGTGCCAGCTCTTTACCCATATTAGCTTATTTGTCACTTCAATTTTTCAAAGCAGTGTTAGAGTTCAAATTTTAGCAAAACATTTATTCTGACATCAGTTTGTTGGGTGGCTTAATATAGCAATCATTATATCTTATTATTTGGTGGATTGGGAATTTGGGCTGGGCTCAGGAAGGTGAGCTTTCTCTCCACATAGTGATGTATTCAGCTGTCAGGTGGGCTTGTCTGAAATGTTCAAAACAGCTGTACTCACGTCTGGAACGTGGGCTTAGCTGAGACTGTGGCTAGAGTGCCTACTTGTGGTCTCTCCACAACGGCAACCTCAGAGCAGTAGGACTTCCTGCACAGCAGCTCAGCTCTGAGAAAGAGAGAGAGAAAGAGAGAGAGCTCCAAGACACAGAAAGTGAAAGTTGCCACTTTCTTGAGGGCTGGGCTCTGAAACAGGCACAGCAGCACTTCTGCCATATTCTGTTGGTCAATCAGTCCCAAAGCCTGCCCAGATTCAAGGGGAGGGGGCAAAGATCCCGCTTCACAATGGGAGGCATGTAGAAGTTTTTGCCAGCCATCTTTGACCCTCCATAGTGGGTTGCACCTAATCGGTATCCAATAAATGTTTATCGAATGGTTCACAGATTTGGTTCAGGTTAGACCCAGAAAAATAACATAAGAATAAGAGATACTGAGTGTATGATAAATTAAAAAATGAAAACTTGGGCCCTGGCCAGGTATTCAGTTGGGTGGAGCGTCGTCGTGATTCACCAAGGTTGCGGGATCATTCCCTGATCGCACCACATACAAGAATCAAACAATGAGTGCATAAATAAGTAGAACAGCAAATTGATGTTTCTCTCTCTCTAAGACCAATACATTAAAAAAATTTTTAACAAATGCATAAATTTGGGGCATGGGATCTCATTTTACATTTGGCAAATAAAAGTGGAGTTTAATCCAAAGCATGAGGTAAGAAAGCTAACCATCATTCTCCCTCATGTCCTATACTTTACCAACAGTTTGAATTGGTTGCTTGCTTTTTGGCATTAACTGGGAATTCCTCCAAGATTCAAGGTGATTACTCTCTTCAGTCCCAGAGACAAGAAAACACAGCCATACAAGAGTGAGTCATTGGCCAAATACAAGCTTCTTTGGCAAGTCTTAGGTGAAGGAGGTAAAAGGCAGCTAGTCGACAATGCCCCAGGAAGAGCTCTCATTTGTTGTAAGAGAACCACTACCTGACAGGTATTTTTTCCAAGGTGTTTAGCAACTTTCTTTACAAGTGAGACAACACTGAGGTCTTCATGAGATATTCTTTCCTACTAGTAACATTTTTATTGACAGCATAGTCCCAACAAGTTTGGAAAGTCATCTCATTATTATTCAGGACAAGAGGAGCCCCAAATAAAGGAATGGATTTAGAGCTGGTCTTGATGCTGTCAGATGCTGGTTCTAACTGATACTGATACAAACCCTCAGGTGTCCTGGACAACCCACATAAAACCAAGTAATTACAATGACAACTCTCATTCATAAAAAATCAGACTGGAGTAAGTTCTGCTTGTCCTGATAATGACGTGAAAATGGTGAGTTAGTGAAATAAGCACTTAGACTTTTCCTTTTCACCCCAGCTAATTGGCCATTTCATTTGTAAGGGAGCTTCAGCTCTCTTTTTAGCTAGTTTTCCACTTCGGCTGTTACAAGACCGCCTAGACCCTAAATCTCTCAGGTCACGGCTAGAACACACCAGCGTTAAGTTCCTTAGAAATGAGTTTCACACCCATTCCTGCCATACCATGCAAGGCACTGGTTGTTAAAAGTTGTGAAAGTAAACACTTGGCAGATCCAATCCTGTAAGAATAATAAAAACAGGCTTAGAGGAATTCAAC